TAAAAAACAAAAAAATCTCTTAATAGGTATATTTTGTGTGGAGAAAGAGATTGGGCATTATGGTGTCGGCGGTTAATTTACCCAAAACTTCGATATATTATGGACACTCTTAAACCATGAATATCGATTTCTATTAATTTATTTAATTATTTTTATCTTATAAGCCGCGAATAGCGATCCATCAAAACTAGAAAAGACTCTTTTGTCGACGAATAAGTACTTATATATATTATAAGCATTTTTCATCAAGAATATTTATCAAAATTATTTATCATTGAATCTAAATAATCACTTATATCTTGTTGCATTATGCATAGTCATGTCAAACTATTATCTACATACGTTTTGACGTCCTAGACTCCAATCACAGAACGATGGAACTAATTCAGATTTATATTTTAAATTTGTTAAAATAATTATTTATTAACGTTGATCATACGTCTTCCACTAGTGAGAATATTTCTTTGCCTTAGGAATTCGTATATCGATTCCTCCGCCTGTAAATGAATTAAAACGTGATCCGTCCGCGATAAGCCAACTAACCTACGACAACGCGTCCCAGCTTGAGTGTGGGTGTGACTGTGTGCGTGCGTGAGCATTTCGTGGGTTCATTCACCTTGCCCAGTAGGGGAAGTTGGGAACAGAGATTGCAATAAGTAGTCATGAAGCATTTTTAAAAATTTAATTTAATTATGCGGATGTTTATTGAGATTGTAAACTAGATTTAAATTGTAATCAAATCATTTATCGCTTTGTCTTCGTTTATAGAAAATGAATTCACAATGACAAATAACTTGCACCTTTTTCTGCGATGCTAAAATCGAAATCTTATCTATTTCAATAAAGCAGGAAATAGCACCTACGCAAAGTACCTACCTAAAATTTTCTGTAGCTTCATGATATTGTGTTAGAAGTAAACATCATTTAATACAAAAAAATACATATTAGTTAAAATTACATAATAGTAAACACCTAGATATATTTTAATAATATCCTAGTTAAAGTTTTGCTATAATAAATAGTTGTAATAGGACCAACACCGAAATTTCCTGCGGCGAGGCTTTCGTTCGGAAAACCATTCCAAAAAACATTATTATAAACTAGATCGTATCTAACTTGACTTGAACTAATGACAAACTTTTTAAAGGACTTAATTTTTATTCCTTAAAGTTAATGAGGTAATCTCCACAGTTTGCCGTGTGCGATATTTAACCAAGTCAACGGAGTTGCATTTTTGCGCGGCACGCATCGCCCGCCACGCACACACGGCACCGGCCGTGGCGGGTACACGTTAAATGCGCGGTGCGTATCATATTTGCATCACACACATTGGACACGTCGCCTTATATTATATGGAAACTGATCACAGCTTTTAAATATTTTTTATTGACAAACAATGGGTTTAGGTTGCACAACTTTTTTGTGTCGTAGGGCAACAGTTGAGTGTGTGGAACTCTTTATCCGCATGAACCCGCGCGTAGGCTAGACAAAATAAGGTTGGCATACCGATTAAACCCTCTCCGAAGCATCCTTCGACCGACAGACTGGATCAGGCCAAAAAATACCCTCACAATAGAGGCGGCCGAAGCTGTGCAATGACCAGAGTGTCGTCACAGTCTACTTTACCCCTTTACTTTAGAGGGAAGAATATCTCTTCTCATCTATCGTCTACTGCGGCGGGTTCGACACCGCCATTGCCGATGACATATGTATATCATCAGGAGGTGGCATCCTTTTCACCTAACACGCTAGCACCACTAGTCTGACTCTCTTTGCCTCCTTGTTGAGCTTCATTATTTATCTTCAGTGATAAATAATAAAACTCTTTGATTAATGACTAAGAAAATTACTTACTTATCACAAAAATAATAAATATTATTTTTATATAAATGGTAAACTGAAGATGTATGATAAAAGTTCGTTAGTCTAAAAAGTAACTCAGCCAGGCAAATAATTTCAAACTATTGATTGTAGCTGTAATCTCCTGCGGAATTCCCTCTTGATGTTCACGACAGGCGAATGTCCAGTCTAGTTCCATTATAAGAGTTATTTTACGAGTGAAAATCATATTGTAAATGCAAAATTCGTCAAATAATACTAAATAAATGACCTAATTTTCTCAATTTTAGTTACAGCTTAGCTAAATCAATTGAAAATTAGTAATGTTTACGATTCATTTCAACTTTATTTATGAACTATCTTTACCCCAGTGGGTTCACCCAAGTGGTCCTGTGTTATACCTATATATTAACCTTATTGGATCGCTCTGTATATTGATAAAAACTGAATTAAAATTATTTGTGAAGATCTCAATTGTATAGAAGATCTCAACGTGGAAACAGCGGCAAACGACTTTGTTTATACTATACTAGCTTTCCGCCAGCGGCTACGCCCGCGCGGTCCGCTGGTACCTTACTCATAGATCTAAACTACCACCCCATTTCGCAACGGGCCATGCTGCAGAAATCGTAATATTTTAATTTCGCCATAATTTCAAAACCAAACGTCCAATTTTAATCATTCAAAGACCAAATATTACACAAACTGTAATTAGTCATGAAATAATTTATTTTGATAAGAATTAATAGCATGAGTAAAATAAACGCGTTTAAATGTTTAATTAAAAATTTAAAATTTGCCTCACTCGACATAGATAGGTATAGTGTGTCGCGGACATTTTTGTAAATATTTATAAGATATACATATTTTTTATAGTTTAGACAGCGTACGCAAAATAAGCAACTGTTCTGGTTAAATTTTTTACACCTTGTATCCGAAAAACCCAAATATCTTAAGAAACCTAATTTTTCCAAAATAAAATTTAGCCCATGTTACTCATATATAATGTAGCATTAGAATTGTGAAAGAATTTTTAAAATCGGTCCACTAGTTTTTGAGACTATTCATTACAAACAATCAAAGTTTTCGTCTTTATAATATTAGTGTAGATAGAAAGAAGTTCCTAAGTCTTTTAAGAACTACGACATAGCAGTCGATTGAAACAAACACTTTTACATTAAGGATTTTTTAAACCGAAACTATTAGATCCGAAATTTAACTTAATGACATTTTATTTTATAGATAAGTAAGTAAGTGACGTAAAAATAAATAAATAAACATTAAACGTAATATCGTTAATGAACAATGCTTAAAAATCTGTGTATTTTAAGAATTTTTCATTGAGAATATTTTTCAATATAGCATTGTGAATACAAAATTAATCGAATATTATAATTAGATGTTATATCCATTGATCTTATATTGTATATCATAGAATATATAAAAATATATATATATGGGAGAAAATAATTATTAATGTACAGACAAGATGTTAAGAGGTGTGAATTTCGTTGCAATTAGTACGTGCTAACTGGTATACGTTTGAGTGCCTGGCTGAGTTCGATTCCCGATAACAAGACATGAGAGAAAGGCGTTTTAAACTTATCAATATTTTAGTGATATTCCGTGAATTCTTACATCGGTAAAAAAACACAACACAAATAGAACACATTACAAAAAAACATGAAAAGAGTATTACCAAAAGAGGTCTTATGTCTATTTGCTACTCAATGATTTAATTTTTATGTTTCACAAGATAAAAAATCCCAGTTTAATCAAACTGCTGAAACAAGGTCATTAAAAAACTAAAATCAGAAACGAAAAGCTGTTAAAATGACGTTTAAGTAGAATTTGAGACATTTATGAGAACCTACTTTATACGTGGTTGACATAAGTTCTAATTTACAACAGCTAGTATGATATATGCATCCACCGCTACCGCTTACACCTCAGCCTCGATATTTCGGGTCAGTCTAACCCCTTATTTCGGGGTTCGCCCCCATTTCGGTTCTCCAATTAAAACCCATTTATAGCATCGAGGAGCAAAGACATTCACCATGCCTTCATTATATTATACCACGGACCAATATTAATGAATTCCGCTAATGTGTCGATGTAATAATGTCTTATTGATTGAAAACTAATATAGTTGGTTTAAGAATTTATCTTAAATAATAATAAAAATAAAATCTTTATTTGCAGAAATATGGTTTTTCACGTTATTACCAATTTATAAATGCCCAACATATTTTGTCATCAGGACACCGTGCAAATATTACAAGTCGTCTTCTTCTCTATCGTTACGCTCTTGACAGAGCGGTCGTGGCCATCATGATGTCTCGTTCCTTGTCTTTGTTAGTTTGTGCACTATCTCTCGCCATTTCGCTCTGTTGGCCGTCATTCTGGTGCACTCATGTAGTTGGCCACCCACAGCTGCTTTTATTTGGTCGGTCCATCGCATGGGAGATCTACCACGGGGTCTGGTACCCTCCACTCTGCCCTGTACTACGAGACGTTCAATTACAAGTCATACATGTCATCTAAAAAAAATATATAAAAATGTCAACGTAATTTAAAGAAAACTTATTAAAACAACAGTCTCATGTATATACATACACACAGTAACACATAGGGCTACCTTATACAATATGTTAAAATTCCAACAGCACTGTGGTGGTGCTGTATGTTAAAATTCCAACAGCACTGTGGTGGTTCTAGCAAAAAGTTATCAACACTAAAGTTAGGCTAAGGAGCAAGGGCAGCAGTCAATGTCAATGCTAGCACCTAAAACCTATGCTAAATTGGCTAAAACTGACCGCACTGTTTATATGGGATCAGTCAGACTTGCCTGGATTTCGGAGTCAGTAATTAACTCCATGTAAATTTACCATATCTGGCATTGGCATATAGGAACTTCATAAAATAGATGTATACAAAAAAAATACACTTAAAAAGTCTGTCATAGAGTAAACTATCGTTTTAGTCCGTCATCGAAACGTTTGACGTTTTAGTTATTGGGCACCTAAATAAAAGAATAATATTAAACGAACCACTGGATTCTTTCGAAATCCACAGGGGGCAAATCCAATAATTACAAAGAAGAAATAGATACTTTAAGTTTAATAGTTAATGAATTTGGCTAGTTCGTCAATCCATTTACGATGTCTTCTAAAACAGTAGAAGATGCCCACGTCAGCCAACTCGCTGAATTATTGTCAGCATCAGGTTTGGAATGCCCCAGATCGCCTCCTGAGTCAACGGAGTCCACGTCTTTGACTGAAGAATTTGAGGAGCACAGTAAGGAATTTTTTATTATCTTCCATTTTCAGTACGCGTAGCATGACAAACTCTATAAACGCTTTGTCTAGGTACACCTAAATGACACTTTCTGGGGTCGAAAGTGAGATATCGTATGGACGCACTCGAGAAAAGTGATATTTGGGTGAAGACAAAACGTCCTCGAGTTCGTCATGCTACACGTGCTGCGCAGTGTGACTGTAAAGGTGATCGCACATATATCAGAATGGAATGCGCCTAAGTAGGTGAAAGTAAAGATCGTATTCGTTAAGCAACTTTCGCAAGGGTCGGTCATTGGATGGGTGACCAAAAAACTATTATCTCGAGCTACTCCGTGCTTCGGAAGGCACGTTAAGCCGTTGGTCCCGGCTGCCTTTGCAATCGTTAATACCCTCCAATCCGTATTGGGCCAACGTGGAGGGTCATGGACCATCCTCCTTAACCATCCATAAGGAAGGCCTGAGCCCCTGCAGTGGGGACGTGAAAGGGCTGGTGATGATGATGGTGATGATGATATAACCCATCGTGCACATGCACGCATCGAATCGTCAAAATTTTGTCACCTAACAAAGAAAATTGGCTATGCTAAAATAGTCGAAGTATATTAGGAGTAACAAAATACAAAAAATAAAAGAAGGGATTCCGAGTTTATTATATATATGTGTAGATAAAACAACATCAATATCTAATGTACACATAGGTACGTTTATACCAATCCCGAATAAAACTATTATTCTTATAATGGAAATACTAATAAAGTTTGTATGATCACTTCTTAAAACAGGTACATTAGAGGAACAAACGGTTATATCAGAAGAACATGTACTTGAAGAACAAGTACCGCACATTGTCGAAGAGATACAAGAGGAACTGCCAGAGATATTCCCGACACCGTCTCTAAGACGCGTGTTGCCAGATCGTATAAGAAAAATCGAGGAACAGAACAGAATTCACGTGCTACCAGAAGAATTCAAAACTGACATAGATCCTAATGCGATACCGAAAATAGCTAAGACTGCACCACAAAGATATATAGATATACTAGCTGACATTGTCGGTTGTAAGGAATATAGAAGTAGTTTGGCGGAGTATTGGTTTTTGGATACTCTGGCTAATCTGTTAAGAAGAGCTCAAGAAGATCAGTTGGATAGACGTAAGTTATAGTTCTGATAAGTGGTTCTCCGTATAAAATAACTGGGAGAGAGAAAACTGCGCTTACTGAGTTTCTTGTTGGTTTTTCTCAGTACAAGGTCTCCCGCTGTATACCGATGGCATTGCTTTCGACTGTCACAAGTGCTTGTTACATCCTAGTTTGAATAAATAATAGTGGATATGAATTTCATTCTAGTAGAAATAAAATTATTAAGTACATCAGTATAGGGTCACTGATGTCTGCAGTTTCTAATGTTGCCTAACACTTTATTTTTTAAAGGCTAATGAGAAATGTCATTGTATTTTTAATTTTTACGTCATTAGTCAACATTTATATTATTAAATAAACTAAAGGTTAATATAGTACGAGGTTCTACGGGAGTAATATACTCCCAGGAGGTAAGTAGGTTTGCTTATTCTCCGTATAATATGAATGTGGATTTGTACTTAGATAATCAATTTTAGCGTTAAACTCTGACGCTAAACCTTGTTTATTAATAGCACTGATTGTGGTGAGCCTAAGACTCTTTAGATATCGAGTGAAATGTATGAAAAATCGCAAGTTAATCATGAAATTTGTACACGAACTATGTATATCAATTGTGAAAAGCTCGATGGTGTAGTTGTAAGCGAGTTTGATTTGCAACTTCGGAGGTTAAGCGACGATCGCAAAGGCCGGTAATCGGATAGGTGGTAAATTATATATTTAGTTGGCGGTGCCATTTCGGTCGACCACGCGGGTCCAGCATGAATTACTGAGTATATTGGTTTCATCCATTAAGTATATTTGTGCTATGGCACCACCAATCTGCTTTGGGTCCTACACGCGAGCCCCAGTACGGAGTGATGGGTGGATGCGTATTGGTATCGTTCAATAAGAATTACTTACTGCGCTTTAGCACCACCAATCTCCATTCGGGATCTACACGTAGGCCCAGAACGGAATATTGGGTGGATTGGTTCCATCTATCATGAGGATATGTGACTTTGCATCACAAATTCGCATTGGATTCACCATGCAGCCTTGTACGGATAAGTTTTTATTACATATACCATCCATCAGAAAGTCCTGTATCCTACGGGATGCTAGTCCGGCGCACGACTTAAGTTATTGTCGTTTTCGTCAAGAAACCGGTAGGTACAATGTAGGCACGAGTGACTCAGTACTGTGAGTGCGCCGCGTTTATGAAACAAAAACAGGTGTATTTCTAAATGTGAACACCACACGGACACGAAGTTTCACACGATTTGACGGGCCCATTGATATTTCTCATTATTATTTTATTAAAAGCCGTATTCACCGCAACTTCAGCCGCGTAAGATGTACCTAGCTTCGTCTATAATATTAGTTTTAGTGTGTATAGGTAGATATCTCGCAGCTCCATTAATATATTTGTTTTTTAGCAACGCAAGCTGTTTTGATACTGTGGTTTTGCGAATGGATGAAAGAAATGCAACATTTCGACGCTGCTGACCGACAAAGAATGTTACGAAGATTTCAGGTAGAATTTTTGGCTAGTAGTAAGTAACCTGATTTCGAAAACCAGATGTTAAGATAAAAAGCTGTACTAAAGTTTCAATGATATAACTGGCGGGCAAAAAATATAGTAATCGTCCCTACTCAACGATTAGAGAGATAAAGGACATTGCTCAACGTCCATACATTGGTGACCCCAGAGCCAAAAAAATATAGGAAAATACTTATTTTATTGTATGTCACTAACTAATTCTCATTATGTATTTATTATACCGCGACCGAGTTATAGAACTTATTATCACGAAAAATATAATTCATTTTGAGGTTATAATTTGTTTGGAAAACCACCAAGAGATGACACTCTAAGTACATGATATGATATTGATGTCTATATTGTCGAAGCAAAAAAACTCAACTTTAAGAAAGTCGGTTTTTCGTTATGATTTTTTAAAGTTTCTAAGTCAATCAATAGACAAATAAATCATCCTAATAGTTAAATAATATACCTATTGATAAGCTTAAAATTAAAAAACGTATAGCTTTTTGATGGTTTACAGCAAAAGATGACGCTTTAAATACATAAATGACGTGATGTTAATATGTTTACGAGAAATATAAAGGTAATGTAATAGAAACAAAGTAGTTTTTAGGATATGTCGTATGAATATCAATCTTTCTGAATAAACAAGAGTGAATTATCAACAGTTAATGAATTTAGTTTGTATAATATTCAGTTTTTATGTCCTTATGTTTTAGTTGGAAAATCACCAAGAGATGGCGTTTTAAGTAAATTTAAGTTTATTTTCGGTAGATTTAATTTAATGTTTTTGTGTTCGATGATTTAAAGGTTATCTAATAAAAATAAATGATCTTCTTGATCTGACGTGTAAATTACATCCATCTGACTCAATAGAATTTAAGTATATTGAATGTGAATATTTGCGAATAAAAATGTTACTGTTAAAGTTTTTAAATATTAATTTTGGATCGCAGCTTGTCCGTGTCAAATAAATATTTGATTCCGATTTAATAAATAAAATAGTAATTATTATTGAAGTATTAATATTTAATGGTATTGGGGCCATTTTCGGCGATGTCCTTTGACAACTTATAATGACAGTGTAAGAAGTAAAATTAGTAACTAGGTAGAAGGCAGAAGCATCAGCTCGTTCATCGTCAGTCTTTGAATGTCCCCACGGCTTGCCTATATAATGGAATATATTCAAATCGAATAGAGAGAAAAAGCCAAAACCCACCACACGACCTCAGCGCGGATTGGTGGGTGATTTTATTATTGTGACCAAAAATATGATAGGTGATTAATAAAATAAAATAGCTCGGATTCATATCAGAGGTGTTCTAGACCGATCTGAACACCTCTGAAATCAGTTTTTTTTTTATATGTGATTTGTGTTTATAATAATATTGTTTCTTTTTGATATACGTATATTTTATTTTGACTATTTATATTTTAACAACAGGTGATACAGCCGAGACTTACGGCTTAGCCTTCCGAAATACAGAGAATCTCGAAATAATAACATTTCGGTCAAACAGTAAATTTAAAGCTACTCTGAATTCCCTTAGCTACAAAGCAATCAAATAAGATAATGGAGGAAGTAGTAAAAAAAGAAAGCACTAAAAAAACAGCTTCACTAGACGGCGACTCTAGCAAAAGCTGATTTATGCAGGAAACGAATGGACCAAAGACAGTCATTTTCGTTCCTTTTAACTAACATATTAAAAAAACTGAAGTTTGAAAAGTTCGAAACTTAGATATCAATACAAATACGAAAAAGTACAAATAGAATATGAGTTGTTAACTGAGTTTTGATAACTAATTTACTTTTAAACATGAAAGAAAACCTTAAGGGTTGTCATGAAGAAATCAAAAATGTACCGTAGCGACATCTAGTTTGATTTCGGGAACTAATGTTCTTTTTTTTTTAAATACGTCCTCACTGCCACTCTCCAGGACAATATGTTGTCAGCGGCCAGGTTTATAAGTGAAGAAGAGTACATACCGTCACCCGCGCAAGCCGGTGTTCACTACAAGGCGACGGAAGAAACACCAGGTCTCAACCCGAAGTCCACAGCTTTCAGCGCTGCTACTTCGGAGTCTAAGCACCTTGTCACCTTCAAAGGAGCAGCGTACGAATGCTGCTTGAGGGATCTCACCAAGATCATACATTATATTTTTGACTTGTTAGTGTCAGTTGTTTCAATTCAGCTTTTTGATAGAACATATTATACTTAATCCCGCTCGTATATATCTATCTATTTAGTCGCTCCTGGCAAAGCAAATACTTATTCACCTCACCACCCTTTACACATACACCGATCACCAATAAAGATATCGGATGGATTTTATTGGCAGATATATTGATTGACCTTCTTTCTAGTCCTCTTGATGATATTGGAGATGTATTTCTCCTTATATTTCTATATTATTCTACTAGGGCTTCGGCTTCTGAACAAGTATATGAAAGAGGATTTTTGTAAAGGAACATTTTAAGTAGTAAGGTTAGTAGTTTTGGACTTTTCTCACAAGAGAGAAAATTAGGACTCACTCCAGGCAGGCGCGTTCAAATTTGCCACCACAAACTTCTGACGTCCAGGGCAAATGCTCGGTTTGCCTCGCCCTAAATCGGAACCTGGTCGTATACAAATTATAGAAACAGAAGTATTGTATAATAAAGTGACGCATCACAACACACAATCATTAGTTTACAACATTGTCAACATTTTTATAATAACAAATCTGTGACATTGACCATAACATAAACTTCCAGGTTCAGCACAGACTATCAATATAATCTGGTTCGGTCTGTGTTCACCTTCCCTCCAGAGTACGTGCTCATAGACGCCCCCTACCAGATACAAAACCCTAAACGTCTATACATGCCGCTCAAGATCAAGCCGAAGAAAGAGAAATCACCAAAGAAGGACCCTAAAGCTACTAAAGGGAAGAAGAAGGAAGTGGATACAGAAGATTACTTGGCATTGTTAGAGGTATCTACTGCTGAGTTATTAAGTAATGTGTTCCCGCGACTTCGCCCTCGCATATTATAGCTTTTGCCAACAGCGATGATGTAGCTTGTGGTAGGCGAGATTTTTTCTAATCGGTCAAGTATTCACTGCAAACCTCCCAGCTTTTATTTTTCGGGATAGAATATGGTCTATGTTCAGTGGCGTAAATACAGGTAGGCAAGTCAGCAAAATGCCACGAGCCCTCAGCTGGAAGGGGCCCCCGGTCAGAGGAGACTCTTTAATGCTGGCATTTATTATTACACAATTTGTAAAAAAAAAAATAGAATACTCTGTGAATTTGTCACGGGTCTCAAACGGTATAGTTACGCCACTGTGTATTACTTACTCGCTACCTGTTTTTCCAAATTTAATTCTTCCATCCGTATTAACAGTCTGTACCCTTTCAGTGAGACCACTTACAGACTGATTATAGCTCCATAACATAGCTTTATACAATTTTTAATACCCATAACATTTTTTTACACAACATTCCAAAACAAAATAATTTCACATATGCGAAATGCTGATTCCATTAACCACTTTAGACACACACATTAGCTTTTTAATTTAGAATTGAATAATATTATCCAATGTTGTAGCTGATGCAAAAAGACGAACGCAAACAAGAAGAGCGTGAGCTGCACGACATGGAGGATTGGAACCGTCGCAGCCACATCCTGCCTCTGAGCGCCGCCACCACGGACGAAATGTTCGACAAGTACTGGCCGCCGCCGCCACCTGAGCCAGAGCCGGAGCCAGAGCCAGAGCCGAAAGGCAAGAAGGGCAAGAAATGAATCCCCTAATAAATGTGCTAAACACACAATAAAAATATTAAATAGAACTGAATTTCTTTTAATAGGTCTACTAAAATTGAACTGATGTTATTGGACGCGAGTCTCAGACTCTCCAAGAACAGAAATAAAACCGTTTCAATTGATAGATGGTTGATAGGCCCTTTGACTAAGTGCGCTTTCGATTTGATGCTTCTCAACGCTACTGTAATAAGAAAACGAGGCAACACAAAACAACGAATCAGCACATTAATTTCCAACGCAGAAACTTCCAATGCGATATCATGCGCTAAGGTACATACCTCGTAAGTACAAGCTGTTGCAGGACTCAATATTCTAAAGAGGAAAGATTTGATTGTTTGTTTGTTTGCATAGAATAGGCTCCGAAACTACTGGACCCATTTTAAAAACCTTTCCTACTAGGGTAGCTACGTCATACGGGATTGGCGTAGGCTATAATATACGCGTGCGAACTCGCGGGACAACGGCTAGTTGATAATAAAAAAACAAGATACAAGTTGGTTATAATGTTGTTATTTATCTATTAATTTGAATTAAAATATTACCAATCTTAATTTATCATCATACAGAGTACAAGAATATCTTTCTCTCGGTACAACACATTTTAATTAAATTTTGCATAAACATTTACACGATATTACATCACATTAATATATCAAAAACAATAATTTGACACTGGAAAACCGATTTAAATTATACATAGTTAAAGTTCATTCATCAGTCAATTTGTTTTTGTCAAATTCGCTAGAGAAATTTGGCGATAAAATATTCAATAATAATAATTGAAACTTAATTTATACAGCTATTACGATATGATAAAGTCCTCAAATAATTGTTTTTTTTTTCAAAATTAGAGAATGATAGCTCTTACAATATAAATAAAATAAAAATTCAAATGAATTTTATTGAAATGAAAGACTTTTCATATGCCGCCGGTACCAATTTTCCTATCATTCGAGATCTATAACCTTTACAATAAAGGTCTCTACTTCTAAATATCAATAATATTCACATTTAATACAGAGTTAATTTAATGAACAATTTGGCAACAAACATCAAACTCAATCACGAAAAAATGCATTACAAGCTTTTGTAAAAATGACATATTTACACATGGCAATACCGAAAAATCAGTTCTTATTTCTACCACAGTATGGCGTCGATTGAAATCATATACATGGTGTATTTAAATGCTTCATATTTAACTATTGAAATTAATTGCGATTATTTCTGATATGAGCGAAATTACAGTAATAGATTTATTGTAATTAAAACAAAGATTATAAATTACAGAAAAAAAAAATTGTTTACTATAAATGCACAATAGTCATCATTCATCAATGACATTGATATTAATTCAACCATATATCAAATAAAATAAAATTCATTTTTGTTATTTATGTTATATTTTGAATGGACTTAGTTTTAATCTAATCATTGAATGACACAGATAGCTCTGAATCATTCAGTGATTAAAATTATAAACAATAACGTAACCAAATATCGTACGTTGTGAACGATAGTGACACAATGCAAAAATTGCGATTTTGTGTAATGAGCGTTTAAAGTTATTCCACCATTAAGTCATTATGCCACCTAGCAGTTTCTATGCAAGCTACGTTCACTGGGATCTTTGCATTTTAAAGCTTATACTTAACAAAGAAAAATGTTGCCAAAAGTAAAAAGTACGTCGTTTTTGGTTAGTGACATTGTCATTCTCAACGTGCGATATTATGCCGATATAAACCTAAGACGGATGTATAAAGATAAATCTCATTATTCAAAGAGCAAAATATATGCAATCTTTATTATTACATATACATATTTTAATATTAATCAATAAGGTCGAAAATGCATTGTTTAAATGTCAATGGTGTTACGCCATTTTTAAAACTAAAGAATATATAGCAAATATTGATCCCATTATTTACAATATTGACTAAAATTAATAGAAAACTTAATTAACTCGTATTTGGTTATAAATTGATTAAATATTGAGCATACAGGTGAAAACATGGAAATTGAGAAACTAAAACTACACTAAAGCCTAATATTTGTCGTATCTTTCTTAATTATTTATAGAAATAAATGAGCCAATCGATTATATCCTGAGCGAGACGTATCTAATATACAGTCATTTTGCTGGCCTTTTTAAGACTAAAGTTATACCCAGCAGCCATCAGCCTGGCATCAAAAATTACAAAATCAGTGCTTGAAGTATTACATATAATTAAATTACCAAAAATGTTTGAAGTGTACGCCCAATGACGTCATCAAAAGAGCGCGCTAAATGGCGGCGTTTGAACGACTGCATATTAAAAATAATTAGACAATATTCAAGAATATTAATATTTTTTTCTTTATAATAAAGCTGTGAATGATAAATTCAATAAATAAAGAAAACGTGCACATTACCTATTGAAGATAAAGTGGTATCTATGATATTAAAACGCTTAAAATATGTGGCCATCAATTTAAAAACTATTATGTGGTCGTCTCGGCTTAAAATAAATCAACCTGCTTGTTCTAAATTCGTTATAATTTAAGCGTTATGTATCCAATACTTTATAATTTTATTACTGGCACGAAATATGACCGCAAAATAATGTAATGGCATAATCGAGGCAAACTGTACGACAATATATACGTACATTGAAAATTACGAAAATAATAAGAGATCTTGGAATAATATTTTTTCGTGAAGTGAAAATTCTTTACGAATAGTTTCATTTGAATTCTTGACTTATATGAAAATATTATACTTTTGTGTATATTTCTGTCGTCATTATTTATATTTTGCCTTGCTATTCAGTAAAATAAGTAGCTTCGAGCAATTGATTGTCGCACCACAGTGGTTCAATGAAATAAAACCGTTATTACCTTTAAAATACGGTTTTATTAGGCGTAGCTTACGACGCTATATTTTTTTTTCAGATTAGCAAATCAGTATGACCACGTTTATAAGTTTCACTAAGGTACCTGCGCAGAAGTTTATCGTAACTTAAATGCCGCGTTTACGCACTCGCCCTATTCGATTACTATTAGTCGATTCATGCGCACCATATGCTTTGACAGTTGCGAGCTTTTGTTGAAATTTTAAGGTAACGTATTAAAGTCTATATTTCAATGGTTTTGGTACTAGTATTTCATCAGTTTTAGCGTGCTCTCTTCTGCGCAGACGAGTTTTCCCTAAGCTTATAAAATGCATACTTTCAAATCAAGACTATGCAAATTAATTATAATAGAAATCACTCGACGGCTACTACCTACTGTTGAAAGTTATGCATCCGCCATGATGTGACGTCAAAACGACAGAAATTTCTGTATCTCCTCAAATTAGTCATAAACAGCAACTTCATTAAATAGTATATCCTTTATGGTGCTGTTCTTACCTTATTTATATAAATGTATTCATTTTTATTTTCGTTTTCGAAATAAATATAGATTATATACTACCGTTATATATATAATAACACCATTGACGTGCATAAGTTTCACAATAGTAGTATGCGTACAGTTACATTTCAACAATGAAAACTATTAAACTAATATAATTTACACATATTACAATGAAAGACACCAACAATACACATAATATTGCACACTGAAAGCATTTAAATAATAATTATTATTAATAAAGTAGAACAATTCTTATTGAGTACTTATATAATAAAATATCTGTTTTAACATACTATTTATTTACCTTTTTTATAAAGATTATAGTTTCTGGAAAAAAAAACTCAGAATAGAAACTTAATACGTATTTCTCTTCTTAATGTTTTAAATTTAAAAGCAGCGGTAAAGATTTTTATTAATACTGGCATGATTATGGCTTGGTTTATTTGTTATTTGTTAATAATATTAAGCAGCTATCAATAAAAATAATATCAACAAGAAAGCATCAAAGCAATTCAGTCACAACTTAAAAATAATATTCGAAAAATTATCTTATGAAATTAATCATTCAAACTAAATATATATAATCGGTTGTCATGAAAACTTGTCAAGGCCATTTCAAAAATTAAAACCGGGGAGTGTCCTCACTCTGTATAACAGGCAAATTATGGAACAATGAAATTGAACCTTTGAATTAAAATAAATATTGAAGTATATTTTGTGCTTCAATGACGATTTCAAATTAAAATGACGTTTTTTGAAAAGTAAATGTTATGATATCTTAATTACTATGAAAAACTTACTTGGCATTTTAACTTTTATTTTATTACAACATAAGGTCTTACCTTATTATTGTATTTGAATTAATTTTCCAACAAAACACGCAAAAATATGAACGGTTGAAAATATTACAAGATCTTTTAATTATTCAATGTTATAATTAATTAGGTACTACAATATACAGTGAACAGATATTTAGATAATTAAAATGGCAAATTTATTTTTATCACAATTTTGACTCTTTATCACTCATCAAAATTACCGTTTTCCATACAAATACAGTCGAGTTTTTTTATAGTTACTTACAATGTAGTTTTGTAACATGTAAGATAGATCATACATTCCCAATCCTGGGGTTTTTTTTACCATGGGCCGTTTCGATCTCTTTGTTGTTAAAAGAGAGCATGAAGGTACAAGAAAGTCTGTTTAGGTTGATTGTTTTAATTGATGAACTTATAGATGATGAAAATTAATTAATATGCATATTTGTATACTGCAAACTAATACTATCGATCTTTAAAATTATAAATGGGAAAATAAAATTTTAAATTATAAAAAAATATTATACATTTTAATGTATAATTAAGTCCATGAAGCTTTTACTTCTGTTATTATAAAGACTAGGGTATGTATTCTCAAGTTTTATTTACCATTTGGATGTTCGTATAATCTAAGTGTCACAATTAACTAAATATATTTTGTAATAATAAAAAGGAATGTCAATTAAATATTTAATAGGAAAAAAAATATTATCTCTTCTTTTTTTTCTCAATCAAACGAATTTAAATATTATTATTTTCTTGGTATCTCGTGTCCGTTGTCACTAATTTAGAACAAGAACTAGAAATTAAGAAAAGCTTAAGCAGATTTATCGTTTCACCAAACCTGTGACATTAATGCCTTACTAAGACAAAGTTTGTCTATGATTTTGCGTGCTCCGGTTCTTCTCCTTCCTTGCTAATGTATAGTCTGCTTGTGCTTACAATATTCCGCCAATTACACGTTAGTGGCCTTTACACGTAAAGTTACAATAACAAAAATTTTTAATTTTGAAATATCCATGGTTTTTTATTTAATCAAACACCCAATCATCAATGTTGTCTATTCAGTTCAAAAATTTAAACGATCTGACAGTTTATATCTTAATTCTAATATATGAATTCGTATATTCCAGTCATTGATCTAACCGACTAAATTGATTTTATCCCTGTTATGGCGAAAGAGTAAATGCAGATGGTACGCGAATAACGCAAGGCGCCGCAAAATACATGTCTTAACTTTAAGCATTGCTTAAAGTTGTTACGTGATTCCTAGTTATTGATGAAACTTATTTTACCTTAAGTAATGCTTACGTCAGATTTGCCCTTTGCGACTCCTAAGTCCTAAGTTTAGTGTCAGATTTGCCCTTTGCGACTCCTAAGTCCTAAGTTTAGTGAAAATGTGCACCAGTATTTTAAATCTGCTTCATGATGAGGAAAGATTTTATATACTTACATCACAACAATATGACGTAAATCCGACTCACAGTGAATATTTGGAAGGTAATTGATGATAAGGGAAGACTAAAGAGAGCATAATTTCTTTAAATCCTATCACATCTCTAAACTCTCATCACAGACTTGTCATTCCCCAATTTTTTAATGACGCAATAAAATATTTTTAGTCATGGGAACACAACAAAAATATTATGTCAATCAACCTCTTTTAGAATTAGAACGCTTTATATAAGCGCTTTAAACAATGACTATACAATACGACTACAATACACTTATATCACTTAACACATTTTAAATAATATTGTCACTATCATTGCACGATAACGTCAAAACCCACAATATAATACACTTCTACGTCGTAGCCCCACGAGCGCGCCGTAGAATTAATACGACTACGCTGTAGTCTCATGTCACATCGTAACACGTCAATATATATATATATATATATATATATCACATATATATATATATATATATATATATATATATATATATATATATATATATATATATATAATAGCATCGAAATCTTGCATCTTCTATCATTTTTTTCTGTTTAATCTAAAATCAAAGTATTCCTTACTTCCTTTCATCGGCGTGAGTAATTTCTATATGTGTTAGAAATAGTGCTGTCAAAGAAATAAAAAATACTAATACACAATTAAAGCTTCTAAAACTTTTAAGCTTCGGAAATCTTGATAGAAGTCTGACGTAGATAGCAATTCGCCGAATTTGCATGTGATGGTCGGAGCGTCCGAACGATAGCTCATACATATCATATCATACTAGGGCGGTTTCATTATCTAACACCACTAATGCTTCCAAATCGTGAGTCTGGAGTGCATGAGAGATAGAAGTCTAGACGTAAGCCGCTACGTCGTAGCCGCATGATGTAGTCGTAGCGTGCGGGTGCAACCGTAGTCTGCTACGCAGCAGCCGCAATTATGGTCGTAGCGCGGGAGTACTCACTGGTGTGTAATAGTGTCGGGCGGCGCGAGGGGGGTGGGGATGTGGTAGGGCGGGCGCTAGAGCAGCGCGCGCCGACACTCGTCGCGGTAGGCGCCCGCGCATCCCCTGTTTCATGTCTGCCATCTAGATAATCAACCATTTCGGTATATTGAAATCCCTTCCCTTGTAAAAATTAAACCAGGCTGGATTTTCGTTCACTATTTACCATAACTTTTTTTACAGCGCTCCGATGAGATGCAAAAGGAGAGAAAAAACACTTTCCTATTTATATTAATAACGATAGGCAATTCACAGTTTAAGGACAACAAAAACAAAACATATTCCTATTTATATTAGTAACAATAAGCAATACACGACTAATATATTCCTATCTCTGTCTAATGAAGATTTTTACATATTCACATCTCAGTAAATATCTCTCAAATATCGTTTATATGAACTCGATATCGTGTATTGACGATATAAAAAATGCTCATGCTTATTCTCTACTGATATTTTCTAAATTTTACAGTAAATGTCATTTCATTTTCTTACCTGGCTTTCTGAAGTTCTATCTGCCCTTCCAGCGTCTTGGCGAGATATATAACGAACAGTTGCGACAGCGCTACACCCAACGCTACCGAAGCTATTGTATAGAGATTCCTCTCGGCCCAAGAACGAACTATTTCTATACAACCGCTAGTCCAAACGCGTTTACTCGCTTCGGCCACCTAGAAATAAAAATACACTTATAAAAAATGACGCTTTTACACGGGACGAGTAGCACTTGAGACTGATTAATGATAATAAAGGCGTTTCAAAATACGATCCATATTAATTAATTTTGTTTTTTATTTATTACAACCTAAGTATAGTGTATTAAAATAATGCTAATTCTGTTTAGCATTAAGACAGCTTAGTAGTAGTCAAATGTGATAATTTATTAAACTGATTTTAATAAATTATCACATTTGACTTTGACTTTTCCTAAATAAATTAGCCCAGAACACGACGTCGAACATAGCAATGTAAAGGTTCAAACAAATAAAATCTTCTTCAAAAGGTAATACAAGGTATTTGAGACTTCTTGGCGCAATTGCATTTATTCCGAAAAATAAATTCCTCTCTCGGTCTTCACGAAACCAATGGACCAAAGACAGTCATTTCCGTTCCTTTTAACTAACATTACTAATATTTTGAAATTTGAAAAGTTTGAAACTTAAATATCAATACGAATACGAAAAAGTACAAATAGATTATAAGTTGTTTATTGAGTTTTGAAAACTAATTCACTTTGAAAGAAAAACGGTGAAGTTGTCTTGGAGAAATCAAGAAGGTAACGTAGCGACATCTTGTTTGATTACTCAAAAATACTTATTTAGTATTTTTCAATAATCTACTTGATGGAAAAACACACTCATCATCTCATCATCATCTTAAGAAAGTAGGCGTTCGGCATTTCCCATGGCTTATTTGATTCTCCATGCTAACTTCATGTACCTACTATTTCTATATATTACAGGCTGACTTTATCACAGAACATCATAGCTTTACTTACCGGGTAATTCTGTACACCGTACCCGCACATGATGTTTACGAGCCCCGAGGATATGTCTGTGGCGTTGATGCAGCACGAGAACGGAACCCCGCACCTCTCCACCGACGGCGACGAGCAGTTGAAGTATTCGTTCTTAGACCAGTCCATGTAGCCGTCTGATGTTAGACCACAACAGTGGAACTAAGGTGGACAATTTAATTACAATAACAAAATATCCATTATCAATAAAAATGGAATTAATCACGTTTTATGAATAGGTAATACGTAATTATTTATAACCTTTTTAGTAATTTGCGACGAATAGTATATTCGACCATTTGCCGAATACCGAATATTCGGCGAGCTTTCGGCCCTAATAACCGAATATTAAGTATAAGTATTCGGCTGTTAAGTATAAGTATGGCGCCATAACTTGTATCGAAGTGATTGTTTGGCGCTCATTTCTTGTAATGTACTCATTTTCAAAGTAATCAAATCAAAATCCTTTATTCAGAGCAGGCTGTTACATAGCACTTGTGAAAGTCCGTGCACTACTACATGTATTGCACGGACTTTCACGTTAATACGTTAAATATAATTTATAGTTCGCCCTGCGTTCTGATTTGTTTGTAGGTATTATTGTGAAAAATCTAACAAATAAAATAATTACTTAAAAATACAGAAAGAAATAATCTTTCTACATCATTAATCTCCGCTTCTAAATTTTAATAACAACAACAATTTAAATGCAAAAAAAATCGTTAAATCTTGTAATACAGAAGACGATTGTGCATTGTATGTTCTACGACTTACAAATTATCTCATAACAACAAAATAGATTAGGTACTTAAGTATTCGTTATTTGGCCGAGTAGTATAGAGATATTCGTTATTCGGCAGAATAATGTTTTTGTTTGTAAATGTTTTTTTTTTATTTTTATTTTTTTGTGATATCAACACTGTAATCATGTTGTGTACACTTATTAAGGATTGCCGTCTAGACTTATATAAACTTAATAATACTCTATATTATACCTATTGTAATGATTGTAATCTGTCAGTGTACCTATAATAAATAAATAAAATAAAAAAATAAGAATATAACAAAACAGCCGAATAGGCCGAGTACCGAATATTTATTGCAAGCTAGTTTAACATTACAACGTAACATTACATATATTAAACCGGCCAAGCGTGAGTCGGACTCGTGCACGAAGAGTACCGCGCCGAAAAACGAGCAAAAAAATCAAGTTTGTTGTATGGGAGCCCCTTTAAATATTTATTCTGGTTTTCAGAATTTGTTGTTATAGCGCCAACAGAAATACATCATCATCTGCGAAAATTTCAACGGTCTAACTTTCATGGTTCATGAGATATAGCCTGCTGACAGACAGACAGATTGATAGCCAGGGAAGTCTTAGTAATAGCAGTGTAATAGGGTTCCTGTTTTGCCCTTTGTGTATGACACCCTAACATAAAAGAACACAATTAGTTTTAGAAATACATGGACAAATCTACATAAAAAGTAATACATTCATACTAACTCACACATAAACACTTCAAAATGATACACATGGAATATAGACTACCTAACAAACTTATAAGAATATTAAGCCACTCTCGCTCTAAATTCCCCCATCTTTCCTCGTGATTTTTGAAGGCCTTTAGAAATAAACTATAATTACGAATCCTCATGAGCAATTACCCATGTTTGAAGGAAGGAAAAAAATTACATTAACTAAAAATAGTATATTTAGGCTGTACTTTATCAATTAAAACATATCATGAAGCTCGCAGTGTCAGCTATTTATATCATCATCAGCCCTTTTACGTCCCCACTGCAAGGGCTCAGACTTTCCTTATGGATGGTTAAGGAGGATGGGCCATGACCCTCCACACTGGCCCTTGGAGGGGACCAACGGCTTAACGTGCCTTCCGAAGCACGGAATAGCTCGGGATAATAATTTTTGGTCACCCATCCCGTGACCGACCCTTGCGAAAGTTACTTAACGACAACGATCGCGGGCCACGGCGCTTATCCACTACGCCTTTTAATATCAAGAAGAAAGATTTAACTGTTAGTTTGCATTGAACAGACTCTGAAATAACTAGACCAATTTGATAAATTATTTTACCATAAGCAATCTACATTATACCTTATGTACATAGGTGATAGAATATTTTCACTAGTCTTTGCCAATATTATAAAGAGGTAATGTTTCTAAATTTGTTTGTTTATTTGTTTGTTTTCAATCTTCAGAAATACTGATCCGATAATGAAAGTTCTTTCATCTATGGGAAGGCATATCATATGCGGGTGACACAGGTTATAATTTATGCAAGCGAAGTCAAAGGAACACAGTTAGTCAAATACAAACTCACATCACTCTGTGCGAAGTCTATGAAATTCTGTAGATCAGGATCATCCCTGTATGCATGTACTACTCGCTCTGTGAAGCTGAGCTCTAGCAGACCGTGCAGCGAACGAGGGAACACGAACCCGCATACCGCGCCACCCATCTCCACCAGAAACAGGATCAACAGGCACAAGGAATACTGTAAAAAGTGTTTTTGATGATACAATACAACCACTAATGATGTCATGCAAATCTATCTAAGGTTTGGATATTAGAATTCTTCCAAAAATTGGTCTAGCTCGATGAAAACAAGTACACAAGGTTTCATAGGACTTAATTCTATAATTCAATTATTTTGGATCAATAGATGATCAGCTATTTTGTGCTTAGAAGCACCAAGTTGCACAAGCATCCATTAAAATACTAATTAGTGTAAATCAACCCTGATACAAATTTTCTAATATAGAACATTTGTTAGAGCTTGAAGTCACTATAAAATTTTAATGTGCAACTAGTTAACAGAGAATTATCCTTGTTGAACACATAGGTGCTATGCTAATGCATTAATGTGTGCAACTACAATAGCATGATACAAAATGACATTAAGTTTATTAGATCATATTGAATAGATCAAATAACAATCTACTCACAAATTTAAGTAGACATGTGTTCTCCCTTAGCGCACCCACGCAACCAGCAAAACTGACCACAAACACCACGCCGCCTAGCAAGGCTATCAGCAAACTGATGTTCAACATTACATCGTACACTGTGTCCAGCTAAACATACAAAATATATCACATAATTGCATGAAATTGAACAATAAAAGCTGTATATAAAATATATTATTATTATACACCGCCACAATAAATTAGCATAATTTTTTTTTTGGAGTAATAATATTTAAGTTCTTGGGTTTTTAAAATTGTTCAAAAGTGGTAATTATTGGGATGATTATCACTCCAAAAAACCCAATAAAGAGTAGTGAAAATTGACAGCAGTAAGATGTGTAAAATAAGACCAAAGTAACAATAGGTAGATTATAACAAAAATATAGGTGTAATTAACAATGTTAAGAAAATGGCTGATACATATGAAAGAAAAGATATCCTAAAATGCAAATTCAAAATAAACTTTGGAACACTGAATATAGTAGGATGAAATTACCTTTATAAGACCTGTCGCTTGCCATTTGTCAATAAAGGCATAAAGTCCAACTCCAATTAGTAATCCACCAAATAACTGAAAAGAAAATGTGTCAATAGAGTAATATTAATTTATAACATTCAACATTATTTGCCTTCTGATAAAAATTTCAACTTCGAAGAAGTTATACTTTTCAATCTGAAGATAAAACTGCTTATGTTATGATTATCACAAAAGGGATGCTACCATTCACAATGAAATTTCTATAAAAAAAACAACAAAAATATTCACTTTAATCCAGAATACCAAAAAATTAGGTTTTTAATAGATACTATACAAATTAGAAATCGTGCTATATATGTCCCAATCAACGTTATCATCAGCGGAAACTATCTGAACTGTGAAATCTTGACTAACAAAAGCCTGGGAACATTATGAATCATGTTTAAACAATGAAAGCGATAAATGAAAACATTATCAATAAACTAACGTAGACAACGAGAAAACTTTATGGAAACTAATTAATTATGAAACTTTTGAAAAAGCATCAAATAAAACACAATAAACTCACCCAAAATATAAAATTCAGAACAAAAATCATATACTTCACGCAACCACTAACGTATGTAAAATTGGGACCTCTACGCCGATGCATCTCGTTTAATATATCATTTGTTTCCCAATAATAAAATTCAGTTATTTCTTATTTGCTCAACAATCATAACATTTAAAAAGCATTGATTATTTAATGCAAAAAAACATTTTACAACTGCTAAACTATTCACTTCGATTTCGATTACCAAAGAGTAAATTTGTCGAATTCAATCGAATCCGACAAAATCTAGTCCACTCATGGACATATTATACAAACAGGATACACCACTCGTAGTTGAAAAGCGAGCCAAGCAAGATATGAAGTACAGAGGCTATTTGTCTCTTTCTTATAGGGTGACAATGACGTGTTTGTTAAACAAGACTTTTAATGTGATATACTAGTTTACAAAGAGTAATTATATATTAAATTAAAGATTGGCAATACCTACATAAGACAACAAATTAAGAAGTAAACGGTCTTGGTATTTTTCGTTGTGCTATTGAATTTACTTGAACGCTCTCTATCATCAGCTTTTTATGTATTGTTTATTAATGATAATAACGAATTATATAATTTAACTTGATTTTAATAATAATAATTTAATTTGAATTTTGTAATGAGTATAGTAATTATCATTCAATAAAATATTTACTAATGAATTTTATATTTCTCTATTTATTTTCTATCTATAAAATATTATAGTTAGGTTGGTTTTAACTGATTTTCAATGCAATTTAATCCTGGTTAGATTCAGTGCCGTATTTGCGTTCACTGTTGGTTGCAGCTGAAAATCAGCGATTTGAATATTTGACGCTGAGCTGGGACCATTGTGTACTGCTGTTGCGCACACACATTTTTTTTCGAATGTTCATTTATCTCATCTACATGATTATTTATTTTTCTGTTGAATGAAATATAATGTATGTGTGTATTTTGGCAAGAAATAAATCATTTATCTGCCAATATTGTAGCCATGTTGTTATTTTATCAAGTCCTTTTTGTAATATCTTTGATGCCATGACTGGATCGCTATTACTAGCTAAGATTGCAGTGTCATGGGCAAATGTAGCCGTTGTAACACCATCACATTGTGTACAGAACAGATTCCCGCGGTACTTCAGCCTTTATGTCGTAAAACTTTGATTTTGTGTCCATATCTTTCACATATACTCCATTCATTATAACATTAGAAAAAAGAAGCTCTCAGAAGCAGCAGTGCAGAACATTTTATTTACAAGATAAAATTAAAAAATATTTATAATAGTTTTGTTGAAATTTTGAACTTTAGGTAGTCTGAAAGAGTTGGGCAATTTTACATTTTCTCGGGGTTGAGATGATTTCTAAATTCATCTTTTACACAGAGCCAATATGGAAATAAAACTATCTATCTGTTGTTTGGATTGATTCTAATTGTAAGTGTATATAATTAGAATATAATTTAGTTATATCTATGCCCAGAAAATAAAGGTAAAATTTTTATTATTACTGTGATAACATTTATTCAGATATTATTAGACTATTGATTAAGACATTGGAAAAACTTGCTGAAATGTCAAAGGTAATTGTTGTAGGTCTCTCGGGCCGCAATTTTTGACAACAACAAAAATTTAACAACAAAAAGATAACAACTAAAACAAAACTATAAGAAAACAACAAGAAAGGCAGTAGAATTCACAATTAATGACAATCCCAGATTACGTATTTTGACTATTATGAATAAATCATAATCTGACAAAATTAAAAAGCTGTACTGCCGAAACGTTTGAAGGGATTAGGCAACGTTTTAAATTTGGTAGAGTTATAGTGACATGAGAATCGTGCCGAAACTATCTAACCCTGCTTCTTTAGGTTCTTTAAGATGAACACTTTTTATTGTAATAATTATTAAATGTTTTAAGTCAGTCAAATACTCATAAATTTGTTTAATATATAGCTTAAAAGACAACGGTTAAGTATAGCAGCTGGTGTTTAAGTGGATATGTAGCAAATTATCCGTTAGTCTTAAGAGTAACATGATTGTCGACATTTTATCACAAAGTATACCATAAAAAGAACCTTATTTTCATTCTGTATAATGCTATAATGAATGGAGTATAGGTTAAATGGACTGAGGCACTTTATCTTATATCGAGAAAACTTAAAAATAAATTTACAAGTCCTTATGGTCAATGACCTTAGCTTGTTGCAGGCATGTTTAAAAAAAATACTTTAAAAAATGTTATAAATAGGGATACGCAATTAAAATATTTGTTCAATTCAGATACCAGTACCTATGTTACGAACATCGATTATAATAGTAATACAAAATACCTATTTTCTACGTTATATTAAAATACCTTTTTCTAAAGTGCATTGGTTAATTTAAAAAAAATACTTTTGTGACGTATTTTATATTTGCAATTACTAACATCACTCAGCGATGCAACTTATTTGGAATACCTAAATTTCTTATGAAAATATAAAGTAATATTTTATTAATTTATTGCCAACATTACCAGAGATGTAAAAATTTTTATGAAAAAGGTTTTAATCCGAAAAAAAAAACGATTTAGTAGTTGCAACGCGAGATAGTGTTTCATTATATGTACCTATATTTTAACGAAATAGGAACTTTAGAAATGCTTTTATTTTTTTAATAATTAGGTATGTGCAGCTGTTTGCCAGGTTACTATACTATAAAATTTCTCCAATTGATTTCAAACTCTACCCTGAATGCATTAAAGTATAATATCAAGTGAAGTGAAAGAATTCGACAGACTTGTATTATATGACGTGCTTTTGACTGGACGTTTTTCAATTTCATTCTCTGGAGTGGTATTAAACTACATTTCAACTTAGAGGTTTAGTAATCTTTTATAACATTTTTCCTCGAGTAATCGGTTATATATTTAGTTTCGCTAATTAATTTCTATACACGGACACGTCATGCTACAAAGGGAAGTTCTATACGAAGCGCGGTCTGTACAAAGTTCACAATGTAAGGTCTGTCATGTAGCCGTGTGTACTAAGAACAATGGGTGAACAAATAAATGCATCGATAATTTCTAAAATTAACGATCATAACGAAATATGAAAAGTATTGATACCATAAGTACACTGGTATCGAAAGTAACAACTCGATACCTCAGAGTATCGATATTTTATGCGTACCCTCTACGTAGCAACCCTAGACAGAAAAAAGAGCGCGACAAATGTAATATATTTAAAAAAAATTAGTTAAAATTGTAATCAGGCGTTAGTATCATTGTAGCAAGAAGATTATAAGGATTAATAGATAACAATGTATTGTTATCTCATAGACAGATACATTTTACTTCTGTGCTAAATATACATACATGAACATTTGAAGATGTTACTTGGATTTCAATATCTTGTTATGAGGTAATTTTAACAAAGGAAAATTGTCTAAAATGTAATACGATTTCAGTGAGATTATTAGATAAATACCGGATTTTGCTGATATCTCTTATCGCACGTGTTTAAAATCTAATGTAGGTTAGGTTTACTGCTTAAAAAATTTAAATGAAATCTGTTGTGTTTACTTTCTATTGTTGCATATACCCGTTAGTAGGTATAAATGGCAAATTAATATATTTTCAGCTTATTGTCCTTCGCTAATGGATGGTCTGACACGAAACAGCGAAGCTTTCCTGAAAATTTTTTATTTGGTGCTGGTACCTCAGCCTATCAAGTGGAGGGAGCTTGGAACTCAGATGGTAAATAATAATTTATTTTATATACATATCACTGTATTATAAATGTGCAATAATAGCTTTTTGCGGTAGTATCTGTGGCTTGAGGTACATTTTTCATTAGTTGATCTTATCATAATAGGTAAAGAAGAAAGTATGTGGGATAGCTACACTCATAAACATCCTGAGTTTGTAAAAGACGGTGTAAATGGTGATGTCGCTGATGATTCTTATCATCTCTACCATAGAGACATCGAGATGCTAAGAGAATTAGGTGTTGATCACTACCGGTTCTCGATAGCCTGGTCGAGGATACTTCCTACAGGTATTATTATTCTTCCCACAAAAATATAAAATGCCACAATGAATTTTATAACTATATGAATGCAGCATTTTTTTTTAACCAATAACCTGTATGTGGTCTCAAGGAGCATTTATTTCAGATATTCTTAACTTTATTTAAAAGATCAATAATATAATCCCTGCAATTAGCTTATGTCCTGGGAGCCGTTTTGGTGACGTAATTGTGTTCAACAATCAGTACCGTTAACAAATGAACACTGGGTGATGAGTACTCTTATTGAGTTGGGTTCTGTTGAGATCACACACAATTTTTGTAATGTTTTCAATTATTATTGTTAAGTTTTGTTGTTACCTGTTATTGTTGACTTAAATAGCAACTGTTATTATAATTTTCACAACAAGAAAACCTAATTTCACTAAAAATAAATATATCTAATGTCTCTCATTTCAGTTTAACTATATGCTTTGTTTAAAAAAATGTGCTTTTCATTTGTTTACACATTATTACAAAGTAAATGATATTTTTATATTTTATTTGATTACTTTCCATATACCTCAACATTAATATATAAATTCACCTTTTCCAAAAACATGTGTAATAAATAAAAAGTTATTAAATTATTTGCTATCTCTACTTTCTATTTTTAAATGATTCAGCGGTTGTTATTTAAACAAGTTCCAGTGCATTAGCAATTTACGGGACGTAAACATATTTACAGTTTGGTATAAAATATGAAATTCATCATCATTATTATCAGCCTTATTATGTCCCCATTGTAGGGACTCAGGTCTTCCTTATAGATGGTTAAGGAGGATAGGCCATGACCCTCCACGATGGTGTGTTAATGACTGCAGATGCAGCTGGGACCAACGGCTTAACGTGCCTTCCGAAGCACATAGAAGCTCGAGATAATAATTTTTTGGTCACCCATCCCATGACTGACCCTTGCGAATGTTGCTTAACAACAATGATCGCGGGCCGCGGAGCTTGTCCACTACGGCACCGAGCTACTCAATTATAAATATATTTTCGTACAAACAATTCTAAACTTCATCTCGTTTGTCTCCTCCCATTTGTTTGATAAGAATTAATGTGCGTTTAGCATAAGTGTGTATGTTACAGGTCTGATTAACAATATAAATGAAAGAGGTCTTGATTATTATGACAATCTAATTGATGAACTACAGAAATATAACATAGAACCTGTAGTGACATTATATCATATGGATTTACCTCAAAGACTTCAAGATATGGGCGGCTGGGCTAACCCTCTGTCTGTCGAATGGTTTGAAGATTATGCTAGAGTGCTCTTTGAGAAATATGCTGGTAAAGTGAAGTACTGGGTTACTATAAACCAACCGAATAATATATGTATGGATGGTTATGGAGACAAGACCATGGCCCCAGCTATTAATATGAAAGGGATTGCGGATTACATATGTGTGAAGAATGTTATGGTTGCTCACGCTAAAGTCTACAGATTATATGAGAAGAAGTATAAGAAAAAGTGCAATGGTAATGTTACAAACATACGCATGTACATAAACTATGGAACAACGGGCTATTTCTGGCACCGATATCATTAGTTATAAGAGAAATACATCAAAGTTTTTTTTTTTAATATTACGAAAATCACATCAAAATATGCTTAAAAATATTTTCACAGAGAAGTTGCAAAACTATGTTTCCAAGTGTCTGAATGTAGATATGATATATTCAGTCTGAAACAACGTATGCAGCTATTATAACACTCAGAGCGGAAACAATATAGTAAAGATCATTGTCTATATTGCTCAAGCAGGGAACCGAACCCGTGACCTCAAAGGCCGATGTGCTAGCCACTCGAGACATTAGTAACTAGTTACTGCTTCATGGCGAGCTTTTCGGCAACTCTACACTAAAAATATATAAAAAAAAATATATAAATATTTAACATCACATACATTGCTCAGACTCCAAGATGAGTAGCTAAAGCCCCCGTATTATGGAGTATCTGAGACAACGAAGGTACCACAACACCCAGACCCGAGTCAATATAGAAAAGTTCATTTTCTACATTGACCCGACCGGGAATCGAACCCGGGACCTCAGAGATGGCGACACCTTGAAACCGGCGTGCGAACCACTCGGCTACGGAGGTCGACAACACTCGATGTCTATTTTGCGTTGCACCAGTTTTCTGACCCCAGCTCCTGCAAGAACATCCTCAAATGGAAAAAGATGGTCATTGATATAATTTGTGAATATTTAAGGTCTCGTCGGCATAGCGTTAGCGTTGAACTGGGCAGATCCGGTCAATAATAAAACAGAAAATGTTAAAGCTGTTGAGGACTACAGAGAGTTCACTGTAAGTAACAAAGTAGACAACATGGTTTATAAATATTATAAAAATATCATAAAAATAAAAACTGGAGACAGTTAGGCTGTCAGACATGTTTTCTCTTTTTCTAACCGAGGGACAGCTGGATTCTCTACTAAACTGTTTCTTCGCCTACTTCTCGAAAATTTAAACTACCCAACCTACCAACAGTTTATTTTATAATATTTTTTTGTAATCTCTTTTATCCGATATATTTTAACTTTTTATAATTTGTATGTCATTTTCGTATGTTAGCTGATTTTTTTTACAAACAATTACTATTTCAGATAGGTTTATATATGAATCCCATATGGTCTAAGGAAGGGGATTACCCTAAAGTCGTGAAAGATTTAATCGCAAAAAAAAGCAAAGAGCAAGGATTTACTAAATCAAGATTACCAGAGTTGAGTACTGAAGAGAAGGCGATGTTGAAAGGTTTGTAGAAACACAGTGACCGTCATAAATTTATACACAATAGGGATGATGCCTTGGTTAAAAATAATCTATTTAGTTTGTCAGCCAGATAAAAGAAAAATATTAGACACGTTTTTGCTTCAGTTTAACATGAAATGGCTTACATAATAGGCGTCAAAGTTGAGGACTTTACTACGTCACATCACAACTATGGAGACAATGTACAAAATTTCAACTCCATGTAATAACTATATTTAATATTTTTAAATAATGTACCTGACGGACAGACAAGAAAAAAATTGTCATTATCCCTATTCTAAGAACACCGAGATAGACGGACTGCATTGCAAACAATTCTAAGAACTTTGGGGATATAGAGACAACATTACACACAATTTTAAGATTGTACGGATATAGAGACCGCATTGCATACAATTCTAAGAACTGTGGGGATATAGAGAACCCATTACACACAATTTTAAGAATTGTAGGGATATAGAGACCACATTGCACACAATTCTAAAAACTGTGGAAATATAGAGACAACATTGCACACAATTTTAAGAACTGAAATAATAGAGATATCACTACGTGTTAATTATAAAGAGAAATGTCTTATAAAAAAAGTGTTCGGTATTTTCAAATGAAAACAAATTAAAAAATATATTAACTATTATCAATAGTTCGTTATTTTTCTGGTTTAAAGTATCATAAACTGTTGTCGTGATGCAATAATGCAATATTGTATTGTCACGCTTTAGACGCGATAACACGTTATACTCAAATGAATCAACTTTTAAACGGTATCACCGCGTTTGTCTTTAGTTTTATTGACGTTTCGGACCTTTAAGAGGTTCCGTTTTCACATAAGAACTAAGGTGTTGATTGTATTTTTAATTAAAAGTAGCTACTTTCAAAAACCATTACTATTGGACACATTCACAATACAAACAATTATATATTCTTTGGCAATAACATCATCATCAGCCGGAAGACGTCCACTGCTGAACATAGGCCTCCCCCTTTGAACGCCACGACGGACGACATTGCGCCAGCTGCATCCAGTGGCCGCCCGCGACTCGGACGATGTCGTCCGTCCATCTAGTCGGGGGTCGACCCACGCTGCGTCTTCCGGTTCGTGGTCTCCACTCGAGAACCTTTCGTCCCCATCGGTTATCGGTTCGTCGAGCGATGTGGCCTGCCCACTGCCACTTCAGCTTACAAACTTTGCGAGCTATGTCGGTCACTCTAGTTCTTTGGCGAATATCCACTATTCGGATCCTATCGCGCAAAGAAACCCCTAACATAGCTCTCTCCATGCCTCGCTGAGCGACTCTGAGCTTCTCTAAGAGGCCAGCAGTTAAGGACCACGTTTCAGTGCCATAGGTCATCACTGGCAACACACACTGGTTCTACACCTTCGTCTTTAGGCACTGTGGTAATTTGGACGTGAAGATATCGCGTAGCTTCCCGAACGCTGCCCAGCCGAGTTGGATTCTTCGAGTGATCTCTTTGTCGAAATTGGATCTACCTAACTGGATTGTCTGTCCAAGGTACACGTAGTGATCGACGACTTCGAGAGTATCAGTTCGTATGACCACCGGTACGGGTGCAATATGGACATTCGACATGATTTTCGTCTTGTTCATGTTCATTTTAAGACCCACCTGTTTGAAAACTCAGGTCGCTGAGCATTGTACTGATGTGCTCCATCGATCTTGCCAAGATGACTATATCATCGGCGAAACGAAGGTGAGTGATGTATCGCCATTGATGTTGATGCCGTATTCGTCCCATTCCAAGAGCTTGAAGACGTTCTCCAATGCATTCGTGAACAGTTTCAGAGAAATGACATCTCCTTGTCTCACGCCTCTGCGCAATTGGATTGGTTTCGTGCTCTCTTCCTGGTAGCGAATCGACATTGTGGCGTTGCTATACAAACGCTTTAACACTTCGACGTACCTGTAGTCGATTTGGCATCGCTGGAGGGACTGCAGTACTGCCCAGGTTTCGATTGAATCGAAGGCTTTCTCATAGTCCACAAACGCTAAGCAAAGTGGCAGATTATACTCCTCGGTCTTCTGTATAATCTGCCGCAGCGTATGTATGTGGTCTATGGTGCTAAAGCCTTTTCGGAAACCGGCTTGTTCGGGAGGCTGGAAGTCATCAAACCGGCGTTCGAGACGATTCGTAATGACCCTCGAAAACAGCTTATAAACGTGGCTCAGAAGCGAGATTGGTCTATAATTCTTCAACAAGGTCTTGTCACCTTTTTTGAAGAAGAGCACAACCACGCTTCTGTGCCACGCTTCTGGCGTCGTACCCTCGAGAATGACGGAATTGAACAATTTCTGGAGGACTAAGAGTACCGGTTTTCCACCCGCTCGCAAAAGTTCAGTAGTGATTCCGTCATCCCCCGGTGCCTTGTTGTTCTTGAGCTGTTTGAGTGCCATTCTAATCTCGTACAGGCTGATGTCTGGGATATCCTCGGTGTGATGTCGGGTCAGCTTTGCTCTGGTGTCCTGAGCATTGCTTTCAACGGGTTGTTGTGATGATGTGTACAACTGTCCATAAAACCTCTCAAGCTCAATCAGAATCTCCGGTTTTGAAGATACGATCCTGCCATCGTCGATCTTCAGCTTCGTCATCTGACTCGACCCAGCAGACAAATTTCGTGCAAACACTTTGGAGCCTTGGTTCCGCTCTATTGCCTCCCTAATACGTGTAGTATTATAGGAGCGCAGATCGCGTCGCATAGTTTTGGAAATTCGTCTGTTAAGTCGACCATATTCCGACATATCGGTTGAAGATTGCAGTCTCATATCCCTCCGGTCCGCCATCAACTTGAGCGTTTCGTCTGAGAGCTTTTGAGATTTAATACGGCGCGGGGCCTTATAGAACTTAGACCCCACAGCTTGGACTGTTTCTACAAACCCGTTGTTTATTTCGTCCACAGACTCGCATTCAGCTAGACACTGGAAGCGATTGTGTAGTTGGAGTTGGAAGGCTTCGGGGTCCACGATATGAGCAGCACTAGGACGGAGCGTAGGCTTCATCAGACGTGATCTTTCGAGCTTAATATTGATATTCAATGTGCCTCTAACGATTCGGTGATCGCTACCGGTTTTCACCCTGCTGATCACGGAGACATCATTGAATATGTGCTTTCTGGTTGTCATGATGAAGTCGATCTCATTTTTTGTCGAACCATCAGGGCTCATCTTCCCACTTCCTGGAGGGTCTCTTCTGGAAGAAGGAGTTCATCGCAAAGAGTTCCTCCTTCTCCATGAAATCGACCAGCTTCTGGCCCCGGTGGTTACGCCGCCCATACCCAAATCGACCCACCCTCAACTCATCGCCGTTCGAAGCGCCCAGCTTCGCGTTAAAGTCCCCCATTACAACGGTGAAGTAGGTATTGGTCGTATGTATGGCTTCAGAAATCTCCTCATACATAGCCTCTATCTCATCGTCGGAGTGTGAAGAGGTCGGGGCGTAAACCTGTATGACCTTCAGCGAATACCTTTCGGTAATTCTGAGTATAAGGTACGCCACTCTGCTCGACACACTATCGATCTTCACCACGTTGTTCACGAGGGACTTGTGGACGAGAAACCCAATACCACCTTGAGATTTTTGATCTCCTTCCCGGAAGAAGAGCATGTTACCGGACTCAAGGATTACCGTATCCTGGTCCTCTCTTCGGATTTCGGATAATCCCACTATGTCCCATCGCAACTTGCTCAATTCTTCCTCCAGCTCTAATAACTTCACGTCAGTCCTCAGTGTGCGGACATTGTATGTTGCCAGGGCCAGAGTCCGTTTGTGTTGGTAGCGCCGAATCTGCCGGGGATTCTTAGCACCCCCTGCCCCTCCGTTACCTGTCCCGCTACCAGAGACAGGAATAGAGGGGCTGCCGGGGACTGGGGGCCATACAACATTGTCGTCCATCATGAGGGGGGGGGCTGCCATAATCCCCACGCTTGGCAGGCGACTTGGGGATCGCAGTAGGTGGTGGTAGGTGATACCGGGAGGCGCTGCTGCCCGCCTTCCGTATAATCCCTCAGTCGGCTCCTACGACACCCACGGGAGGATATGGGGGGGTGCTACTCTTAGGCCGGCACCCCACGGCAAATAACATCGATTAAATTATTTATAAAAATACATTCGACTTATTTATTTACCCCTGGCTACCGTAATCTACCACCAGTTCCAAAGTTGTTTCACATTTATGAAATCAATACGGTATACTTAATTAAGTGAAGAGAACATAAAGGCTTTAGAAACTATTAAATAAATAAGATCAAGACTGATTAATAGATCAAAAACGTTTTATATAATCGCATTACAATGTAATGGATATTAAAATTAACGAAATTTTGCAACGAAATTTGAACTCAACCACGTACCAGTTAAAGCTTAAAATCGGTAGGAGTAATAAAAGGTTTTATAACCTGATGTGCGATCGCCTTTTAAGATAGTATGTGTAATGGTTGTTACACTTTACTGTTTTCAATAGGATCTGCTGATTTTCTGGGCATGAATCACTACACGACATTTTTAGTGAAGAAAACGAATATGAAATACGACTCTCCGTCGTTCCGAGACGATGTCAGTGTTGACCTCTCTCAGGGTAAAGATTGGAAGAAGAGCGAATCTTCATGGCTAAGAGTGAGTTATTTTTTTTTTAATGAGACCCCTAAAGTATGCATAAGTTACTAGCTGACCCGACAGACTTCGTCCTGTCAAAAAGATTTGTAATGTGGCAGTTTTTTTGCTTACGTATTTAAAAAAAATCTCCTGAACAGAACCGTCACCCTGGTGATAGGGCGTTGTGAATAAAAAATAATTAAATAAAACATATACCTATAAGGATTTAAAAGTAAGTAATTCACAGACAACTTTTTTTTTTAAATTTGATATGACTTGAAGTCAAATCCTTTTAAGCCGTACGAATTGTTTTATTTATACAAAAGAAACGCGAGTTTCGGAACGCTTCATTAAACTCCTCCAACTATGTATTCTGTGCTCCAACGCACACACGCACATTGTTTTGATAGATATGATCTTTGACGTTAGGAACACACCTACATTGCTTAGACAACAGTGAGTGCTTGTAATTTAATATGAACTTTATACCATAGCAATAAAGCTCAAATTGACTACGTTTTAGTTACAAATCATTTGTATGGGAAAAAGAAAAGGGCTATTTTTAGGGTTTTTCCAGCAATAATTCTAATTTTTCTCGCCGTAAAAACCATCCTTGAACTTCAACGAACATTTTAAAAAAAGATTTGGCCAAATTGATCGAGGCGTTGTTGAGTTATGCGCTTACCAACACATTTTGCGACTCATTTTTATATATAATATAAAGAAGATTATATTTGTTCAATTTTCCATTGAGCAAATGCAAAAATTTAATATACTCAATGAAAAATGCTTAAAGAAATCCATTTTGTCTCTGGCACTCTGAGATGGAACTCAAGAACATGACCTTTCGCCATCCGAATCGGAAGAGCAGTCACCTGGACAAAGCGGATTTTTTAAGCATATTTCATAAAGAGTAAGTTTTAAAGTCAAGAATCAAAATAAAAAAATGTGAACGACAATCGACATTGACTTAGTGAGATAGCTCCCTGACTATTTGAAGTACTATTATTTTAAATCCAACAAGAAACTTTGATATATTACTATTATAGATCCTAATATAGTGGCAAAAATGTTTTAAAAAATCTTAAGTCGGAAAATCTAGTTTTTCACTATGTCACTTTTATAGGACAAATGTATATGATGTACATATATCAATAAACCTTATATTCATAGGTATTAAAATACACAAACAATTTTGAATTTATGATAACTTATTTATTATTTAAATTACTTATTTAAAAATTAGTCTCATGGACGGTATCAAAAATATTTTGGCCTAATTCTTTGCAACAACTTTCATTGGTACAAAATTAACTATTATGTTAATACAAAGTCATAGTTATATCTCCAGTCTTATTTTGTACTTATAATTAAAATAAACTTGTATAAAATAACTAAATTATTTTACCATTTTTTCATTTAAAAACACTACAGTCGAAAAAAACAAAAAATTTATGTCCTAAGGCAAAAAACTTCAATACTGAGTTTTTTAATTTGCGTTACGCTCATAAAAATTCACGAAACACTTTTTTTCTTACAAAACAAAGAAATATATTGAATTTCGAGCAAAAACTGTAGTTTTTTTGCCCAACTCGGATTGCGATTTCATCGGATCGAAACAAGTTTAGATCCACAATCGGACAGGTGGGATGCTTTATGCTGTCTTCTTCTTTGCTGTTAATGAAGGTGACCCACTACACTATAGTGATCTTCCATTTTTATGCTGTTCGTCAACTACATTTGAGTCATTCTCTCCTACATTGCTTTCATCATTATACTCTCTCTATCCAGTTGCATCCTAAATTTAGCTTACAATCTCTCAATTGTAAATTTTCCAACGGTTTTCTCCTACTAGATAACTTTTCTTTCCGGAACTGTAACCAAGAATTACCGATAGCCAAATTAAATAAGACTGTAATCACAGATTATTAGATTACAGAAGGTAACCGAATGTATGTACTTCATTTTTCATAGTTACGCCCGGCGGAATTGCTATAGTTTGGTACAAAGTTTTCTGCAATCCAATTGTATGTCTTCTAATATTGTAATCTAATCCTTATTGATATTCAATTATTTTCATTTTTATTACAGAGTGTCCCTTACGGTTTATATAAAGTGTGTGTATATATAAATCAGAAATATAACTATCCAACGATACTCATCACCGAACACGGCTGGTCTACTAAACCTGGCATAGGCGACCAAAGTCGGGTCGATAACTTGAGATCTTACCTGTTCGCTCTGTTGTTAGCACTAGAAGATGGCACTGAAGTTATAGGTTATACTGCGTGGAGTCTTATGGATAATGTAGAATGGACTGCGGGAATCAGGTAAGAGAATCTTTAGAGGAAATCATTGTTTAAAACATTTATTGGTAACATCAGACTCATAATTTAATCAAGCACGGAGGAGCTAGAGATAATAAACTTTTGGTCACCCATCTTATGACTGACCTTTGCGAAAGTGCTTAATCGGGCGCGCTAACCACTGCGTCATCGTGCTTCACGTTTTCTTCTTTACTTGCAAAAGTGAAGTAGTGAAGATCAATCTTCTAATAGTTGCTTTGTTTTATAAGTTTATGTTACCTAAAATCCAACTTAAAATAACGCTATACATATAAGTTTTTAGTCTATGGAATGTTTACAAACTTTGAAACGGGTCAAATATTTGCAATTTATGAAATTTAGTATCATCTAGATATTTAAGAAATTAAATATGTTATATTTCACGACATACCTAGGTTATGTTTAGGTTAAAATATTCTACTAAAGCTATTGACGTGAATATAAATACCTTCCTAATTTGTTTCTACAGTGAACGCTTTGGTCTCTACGAGGTAGATTTTGACTCGAATGAAAAGAAAAGGACGCCTAGACTGTCTGCTTTTGTTTATAAACGCATTATAGAGAGAAGAATAATAGAAGAAAACTGGACACCAGAAAATTTAAATATGGAAATTTCTAATAGAAGGCTGAGAAAAATTAAAATTGAATTGTAAATTTGATAAATTTTTATTAGTTGACGGTCTCAATAATTCGTTGTTGTTTAATTTATAATTTTTGGACATTGTATATTTTCAGTATTTTTACCGATCAGTATAAATTAAGAAATGCATGTATTTGAGAAGTATTACATTTTAATATGATTTAATTTGAACGTAGTTTTATTTCCGTGACATCTAGCGGTGTCAGACATTTCGAAATGTTTTAAGCTTTGCTACCGATTTATGGGTATGCTATAAAAGAATGATATGATCAGTGGTATGCTTTTATACGTTGCATTATTTGCACTCTACGAAAGATGGCGTTGTTAGATTTTGTGTTTTACAATGTTATCAATAGGTGGCGTTACTAGTAAAATACCCCCTTACTACTGTCTGAAATGACATTATGATTTAACATGCCACTTTCGATATAGCGGAAATAACATAGAAGTCCAGAAGTTTGCTACATACCTCCATTAACGGCCTTATTACAAAATTTTCGTATTTCAATATTAAAAAATAATTTGTACAATTTTATTGATAAAATGTAACTGTTCTGAGCATATTATGTAGCAGCTCATCACTACAAAATGCAAAACTGTTATCAATTTCGAAACTATTTAAAGATTTAGAAGTTTGCCTTTTTAGGGTTCCGTACCCAAAGGGTAAAACGGGTTCTTATTACTAAGACTGTCCGGCTGTCTGTCACCAGGCTGTACATATCTCATGAACCGTGAAAGTTACAGTTGAAATTTTTACAGATTTTGTATTTCCGTTGCTGCTTCAATAACGGATACTAAAAACTAGAATAAAATAACTAGAATACTATATAAGGGGTCCCATGCAACAAACGTGATTTTTAGCTTGTTTCCGATTGATACGTGAGTCTGACTTTATCGGTTTTTGCAATAAACTGACGTTCCTACTATATAGACTGTACTATTATAATATTATAAAAAGTGTAGTCTATAATGTTACTCCTATAATATTTTATTTCTCCTATTATTTTGAAGATTTGGTTGTTCGTACGTCAAATTAAAAGGTAATAACGATATAATAAATATATAATAACCTTTAACGTTTTTTTTAAATTATCAACAGAGAAAACCCAGTCGAAAACCATTGCGTGGTTTGGGAGGACTTTAGAAGACTTAAGCCCGGTTTACACTTCAATAAGTACAGTTGCAAGTTAACTTGCCTCTGGCGATGGCGAGTTAAGTTCTTATTGTCGTTCAAATCACCAGACTAACTCGCCAGAGAAACAAGGTACACGCCGCATTGGGGTGGAAATTGGGCTAAAAAGAGACAGGGCCCAGTGAATATGTTATAAAATTTTCTGATTTTACATTAGTTATTGGTTACCGATTGACTAGGAGAGAGTTTAGAAGTAGAAAACTAGGAGAGAATGCCTCTATAGTTTTTGTCTCTAGATTTAGGCAGTAAAGAATAAAAAAAGGAATTAATGTGGATATACTAGACACCTTAAAACATATGCTAAGAGTCGCTATGTACTTCTCTATTATTGAAAAAAAAAACCATCAAACAATAGCAAAATAAATATGACAGGCCCTTTAGCATTATCCAATTGTAGCAATCATTATACACGCTTAGTTTATATCATAAAAGACTATTACAGTGAAAAAAATCTGCAACAATAGAGAAAAAATTGCTGGACTCTTCAAACAAACGCCGCGGGTGGCAAAACATAATAAACCGTCCGATCACTAGATATTTTAGACTTTATGCTTTAAAAATAGAGTCGGGAGTCGTTTGGCACTATTAACAAAAGATGTATAGTTGGGTAATGAGTTGTGAAAGCTACCTACAGCATTGTTAGATCCATTATGAGGTAGAAATCGGATCATCGCATTCGTTTCGGCGTGTAAGAGGTCTAATTTTCTGTTTTGGTAACTTTTATCATGTGAATGAAAATGGTTATTGTTGAGATTTGATGGGAGATAACCTATTGTGTTGGTAAGTATAAAATATAGGCAATATAAAAAAGTGGTGTACTGTTTATTTAGTATTTCAAATCGTTACTCATTTTATTTATTGATAAAATAATAATTGATATTGTAATTTAATCTAATTTACCTAATATATGTCTTACAGTAAAAAAGAAACTCTAGTTTAGTAACCTGTCATTATTAATATAAGTTGGATGATTAACCAGTTTCTTGTAGCATAGTTGAAATTTATAGAAAATGCATTTTAGACAGATAGATATGAAATGTAGGCAATACGAGCATTAATAGGAGACATTTATGTATGAGACATTAATATGATAAAAAAAGAGATACACTAAGAGGGGGATAGTTAAATGAAGATCATATGGAGACAGAAACGCGAGAGAAAATGATGAAAGAAATCGAAAAGGAAACTATTGAAAAGAGAACTGTGTCCTCTGAAATAAGTTCACATTCTCAATTTGTTATGGAAAACTTTTCAGTTAGTTTGTAAATTAGGAAAGTTGGTCACGGGATGGCTGACCAAAAAATTATTATTTCGAGCTACTCCATGCTTTGGAATGCACGTTAAAACGTTAATCCTGGCTGCGTTTGCAGTCGTCAATACCCCCTAATTTGCATTGGGTCAGCGTGGACGGTAGTGGCCTATTGTCGATGGGCCATGACCCTCCACGCTATAGATAGATGCACAAGGAAGGCCCTTGCAGTGGGGCCTTAAAAGGGTAGATGAAAAAATTGAAATTTCTACGTTTATCCACCCATCGTCCAGAGAATAATTATAAAACTAAAATAATTGAGTAATTTCTCTGTTTGTATCTGAGCATCAAACAAACTTGCTTTGGTAACGTATCTTTGATGTAATATTACAATGTGTTACCTAAAACCCGTATGATACAGAACAGAATATGTATGTTGTCTGTGATTTCATCAAATCTAAATCGTATGGTAAGCCTCGTAGCTTTCTCGGCTCCCCTCTATTCGGCGTATAAGCTCGTTCATATCATAAATAAATCAGAAATATCAACATCACACCGGCCGGGTGAAGACAGACTCTGCGGCTTATTATATTTGTGGTTTACTTAAAATATGTACAAGGGGAAGTGGCATGGAAAGGGCGTCTGTTAGAGCGTGAAATTTTTGTGATAATAATTGCGTTTTCCCTTGAAATTCCCGGTTTGCCATACTTACTGCAAATATTTAATAGAATCGGGCGTTATTGTGCGGCAGTCCTTTGCTGTAATCGTGAAATTATGACATCTAACGACTTCCACACCACAAATTCACATGTCAAACGACAACCACTCTACATATGTTTCAGCATTCCAGCTATTAACTGCAATATTAATGATATATTTATAACAAGCTTTCCGCAAGCGGTTTCGCCCGCTTGGCCTTGTATTATACATAAAAACCTTCCTTTCCAATCACTCTTACTATGAAAAAAAACGCATCAAAATCCGTTGCGTAGTTTTAAAGATTTAAGCATACATAGTGATAGGGACAGAGAAAGCGACTTAGTTTTATACTATGTAGTGATTACTGTTTCCTTAATGAAAAATGTTTAAAACTCCACTCGGTCCGTGGCACCCTGGGATGGGATTCGAAACCATGACCTTTCGCTATCCGAGCGACTGCTCTAACCACTGAGCTATCCAGGACCATTTTTTTTTTTGACGCTGATAAATGCATTCCGCATCCCCCCATGCGCTGGGGTTCACGGGGTCTGTGGGACCTCCTCCTGTGGTCCCATCCCCAGAATGGGGGCTAGACATGAAACAGGAGTTTACCCACTAAAACTCAGCGATGTCCCTCTCATGGTAGGCGAGGCGCGGGATCGGCCCGGAGGCCATACACCGCGCAGAGCTACCCAGGACCTAACAGGACTGATAAATCTTTCAAGCACTTGTTAGTTTTTCGCAACTACATAGCGTATTCTCATCAATGTTCAGGCAATCCATCCAAACAGTCGTAAGAAATATTTTTACAAATATTTAAACTTTCGATAAAGATGAAAATTTGTTCTATTTATTATATTTGATCAATATAATATTCACAATGCTATACTGAAAAATATTTTTAATGAAAAATGCTTAATAAATGCGAAATTTATCAAACATAATACATAACTACATGTTTTTCAATATTGTTGAGTTGCATCTGCAGCAGTCTTCTGTCAAAACTCTCACCTCCGTGAATTTCACAAAAAAAAAACATTTATCATAAATTAAGGTGGGCAATTACCCCCACCCACTGCTTCTCCCGTGGATCCTCACTTGGGATTACTGCAGATCACAGAACACTCTCTCTATGTTCTGTGCTGCAGATATATCGCACGTTGAGAATGACAATGTCACTAACCAAAAATGACGTATTTTCTACTTTTGACAACATTTTTCTTTGTTAAGTATAAACTTTAAAATGCAAAGATCCCTGTGAATCCTGTGAAACCCTGTGAATTCCTTGCATAGAAACTGCTAGGTGGCGTAGTGACGATGCGTTGCTTAGAGGGGCTGATTACAATTTCTTGAACTTTAAACGCTCATTACTCAAAATCGCATTTTTTGTATTGTGTCACTATCGTTCTCAACGTGCGATATAGGTACTGTGAAGAACTGAACATAATGTAGCTGTGGTACGCTTCTCATCAACAACCTTTACGAGAGTTGGGGCCCGCCACACCTTCTCACTAGATTTGCGGGTTTCTACTTTTCCTGAATTTGGATTAACTACTTCTTTATTCTTTAGAAGGCATTCTGTACTGTCAAATCAAGGAGACAGTTTAGAATGTCTTTTAAAAAATTTGATGCCGTCCGTCCAGCTGATATCCTCAGCTTGAATAAAGCAATGATGTACTTTGACTAATAGAAATTAAAAATATAAAAAAATACGTTAACTTATTTCATGAAAAACAGTAATTTCAAAAGTCCCAAAATATTTTATAAAATTAATATAAGAAACGTGAAAAAGTAAAATGAAATTTATTTTTGGTTTAACATTTTAGATATTAATCTATTGTGGGTTTATTAAATATGCATTTCATTTTGAAAA